AGGGGAGGCAGAGAAGTAGTGCCCAGTTTCCCCTGCCTTATGAAAGGTCAAGACTACAATTCCCTGGACCGATTTCTTCTCCTTAGTAACCTCCTACTGAGGAGTTCAGTTTCCTAATCACCCTGATACTAGGAATGCCATACTCAGCAGAGAGGACACAATCAATGATTTTCAAGGAAGAGCACACCCGTGTGGCACTATGGGTTCATGCACTAAACTGCAAAGTTGTTTGAACCACAAGGTCAGCAATTCAAGCTCACCAGAAACATTATACAAGTCGCTGTGGGTCGGAACCAACGGACTCAGTGGCACTTAACAACAACAAACCCATTGTGGAGTCCTGGTGTGGCGCTGCAGGTTAATGCAGTAGACTACAGTTCAAACTCATCAGCTGCTTCTTAGAAACAGGGATGCTCGGAGTGGGAATCTACTGACGACACTTAACAACAACAAACTGGTATCTGGGTGTCCACAGCAGTGTTTTGTGCTTGTCAGTTTGATGAGAATTAGTAAGGCCCTAAATCATTAATGAACTGAATATCTGACAAAACCAAGTAAGTACTTTCAACAAGTCTGAGCAAAACAAACCTTAAACTATCATGATCCTAAGAAAATGTCCCTTTCAGAGGCTCTGCGCTGGTCTCCGTCTATCTTTTTCTCATTCATCTACTCAATGAAAATGTACTGAATGCCTTCCGCGGGCCTGCCACTGTGCTAGGTGCTGGTAAAATGCAATCAAGCTCTAATCACACTTAAAGCACAACAGCAAGGCAGGCGAGGTGGTTAACTTTGGTGGACAAAGACAAATCTAATTTGCCTGGAGCACTGGGCAGGAAACAAGAGAGGGGAAAGGTAAATCCGGGCCAGTTCACCAACAGTCTGGATTCATAAACCGCAAAGTGATAGGAAATCAAGAAAACGCCTTCCCAGCTTATGGTCTTCAATTTATTCTTCCCTCTGTCCAATCTGAGCCAGAGCCGTCAAACTAAGGGAGGAGACACGCCCACCAGGCTGTCATAAGGATCTCCCTCTTGCAGAGTGAAAAACCTGCCCCTGCGTTTGGGGATGCGGGTGTTCTCCTCCCCTCCTCCCTAAACTTCTCCAATCTTCTCGCCATCCTCCGGGGTTATCACTTTCTTCCTGAAGCAAGCCATCGTTCCTGCTCCCAGTCTCACTTTTCCCACCCCAATTTATGTACCCATCCCGCTAAGAGTCCACCGGTAAGTAAGCCCAAAGCGAGCCTGGGGAGCACTCTGGCTCACTGTGCGCAAGTACAGATTCTCAAGTTGTCTTAGGCGCAGTAAACAAGCCCTCGCAGACCTGATTTCCCAAAAGTAAAAGGGTCAGCGCCCAACAGCACGGGCACAGGAAGGCGAGGCAATCTACCAAGGGGCTTCCGCCCCTGCCTTTCTACTTTTCATCTGGTCCTGGGCACTGCCGCTCTTTGAATGGCTGATCTCTGCTTAAAAGTCATCTTTCTCTGACCATCAAACTCAAACCTGCCCCATACTGGCTCTCAGCACACACGTTCACACTGTACCCACGACTGGCACAGTTTGGGGGTACTGTGAGCATCTGAGGGGAAGGGCCTCGCTCGCCGCTAGACCCCCGGCCCTGGGAATCGCGCTGGCTGGCTGGCGCGAGCCTGACGTTCCGAACCGCCTGAATGAATGGCTCGACGAGAGCGGGCGACGGTCGCCATGCCCCGCGCGTCCCCCGGCGCCGCCTCCCGCGCTCCCGGGCCCGCCTCACCCGTCCCCCGGCACCTCCCGCAACTTCAGCCCCAAGGCCTGCAGCTGGTTGGCAAAGCTGAGAAACTCCTCCTCGCAGCTGCCGCCGCCGCTGGGTTCAGGCCGGTTCCGCCGCTCCTTGGCCAGGGCCCGCCGAGCCGCTCGCTCGTCCCGCTTGCGCTCAGCCTCTGCTTTCCGGCTGCCGCTGCCCGGCCGACTCTTCGCCACCTGCTTTCGGGACATGGCCCCGCGGCTGCAGGAGCGAGAGCCGAAGGACCCTGCCGGCGACCACTTCAGGTGCCAAAGAAGCGCAACGCCACGGACTACGGAGCCCCGCAACTCCTGTACTGCGCCTGCGCTGGCCCCTGACATCAGGTCACGCTGGACGCCCCGCCCACTCCCGCATGGGGCTGGGAGCGAGGCGCCGTAGAGAGCGGTCCTGAGATAGAGCTATTGCTGTCCTTGTTTATTCTACAGTTCCCTCTCGTGGTGGGTGGTACTTTAAATGAGGAGCCGGTGAG